CTAAAGTACATGACAGAGACAGTCAGGCTTTGAAATGATACAATAGGGCTGGGAGGATGGCTCAGGGCTAGGGAGCTTGCCTATGTAATGGCCTGCACTTGGTTCCTAGAAAACATATCACACACGCATACGAGAGACAGAGAGAGAGAGAGAGAGAGAGAGAGAGAGAGAGAGAGAGAGAGAGAGAAGGAATCAGAGAGAGATAAACACTGTTCAGCTCACTTCCTCCTTTTCATTCTGCACAGGACCCTGTAGGATGGTATCACTCACATTCAGGGAGGTCATCTTACCTTCATTCTCTTTTGAAATACTCTTAAAGACATGCCTATGTGGTTTTAATTCCCAACATGCTGATATCAAAATTAACTATTCAGAGGGATTATTAGTGAGGGACAGTCTTAGTTTTTTGTTGCTATGATAAAATTCTTTGCAAAAAGCAATTTAAAGGAACAAAATTTTATTTTGGTCCTTGGTTCAGGCAAGGCTAGATCCTCATCACAGCAAGGAAGTCAAGGTAGGAGCAGAACCAGCTGGGCACATTGCACCCACAACTGGGAAACAGAGAAGGGTGAATGGAAGTTGCTATTTGGCTCCCCTTTCCCACTTATGTAGTCTAGGATACTAGCCAAGGGAATGGCGCCACCCTTAGTAGGTAGGTTTTCTTTCGTTTTAGTTAACATAATCAAGGTAATCCCTGCTTCTGGGTCTGCATAGAGATCTATCTCTCTGGTGATTTTAGACCCTGTCAAAATGATAATTAGGTGATTTTAGATCCTTTCAAGATGGTAATTATTAACACTAACGGTAACAAAGATCAGTATTTTTCTGATCTCTTGTTCCAACCACTAAGACATTACCCCAACTCTACCATGGATTTTGAGAACATCAGTCCTGCCTTCCCCAGGTCTAGGGAAAATGATTCAAGTGTTTCTTACTAGTATTAGCACACTCACCTGGGTGCTAATGCATCAAGAACAGAAAGTTAAGAACACACAAATTCCTAGTCAACTCTTCTTTCCCTGTCCACTGTGCTTTCTGTGAAGCTACAATTACATCAATGTTTCTGTTCTTCAACTAGACCTGGCCTCTTAGCACAAAGCCTTTGACCTCTTAGTTTACCCACTTTCCCCCTCTCCCTGTAACACTGGAGACTGAGGGAAAGAGGACACAGTTCCAGGAGAATTTCCAGGAAGTATCTGAAATCAGTCTCAGCCGATTTCATTGTGGTGGGGCTCAGTGTAGCGGTGGTGGGGTCAGTGTAGCGGTGGTGGGGTTCAGTGTAGCGGTGGTGGGGTCAGTGTAGCGGTGATGGGGTTTAGTGTAGCGGTGGTGGGGTCAGTGTAGCGGTGGTGGGGTCAGTGTAGAATGATGGGGTTCAGTGTAGCAGTCCTCAAACTAGAACCTGAGTACTACTAGAGTCCACAGATGTTTTCCAGGGACCAAACATGTTTTCCTAATCATACCCCAGTGTCCTTTGACCTCTTCATTGGATCAGCATTTGCACTAATGGCACAGAAGTGATGACAGAAAAAACTCTTGGCTCCTTCCCATGAATCAAGGCAGGGGCATCAAAGGAGACCTGTAATTATTGTGTCCTCAGCGTTCACGCGCTTGTCAATTTTACTGAAGAACCTCCTCAGTGAAGCAATAAGCTTAATACCATCATTGAGTCCCGACACTGAGCAAACGTTTTTTTTTTTTTTAATATTTGCTGTGACAAAAAGGGAGGGCTCACAAAGCATTTCTGAAGCATGTCCAAGTATCATGTTTATTTCAGGGAAAAGTACTTTTTTTAGCCATATGCTGTACTAGCCACTTTTCTCCTGGAAACATTATTTTTCCTTGAATGAAAATTGACAGACAAACTGTGATTACTAAGACTTGATAGTTGAGAGTCATTTTCCCGAATGAACAAAATAGGCTTGTCACTCTGAGGAAAGAAGCTGATAATATTTACTGCTAATCACAGACAGTTTTCAGGTAAAAATTAGAATTTTCAAGAAAGCGTGTCCCTTTCACCATAAACTTGACAGTTGTCTGGTCTCTAACGCTTTTCTCAGATGTAAATACATGTAATTTCCACAGTGCATGATGAAGTGGGCCGACATTAAAAGACATTCGAAATCCAGTTAACTGATATTTTCCAAATGGCCATTCAAATGATGCTACAAAGTTAGACATGGATGAAACTCAGTCAGAGCATAACACAGAGCAAGAGACCTCAATTTAAAATAACTAGAGAAGTGTCCTTGGTATGGTTTCAGCTGCTATGTTGCCAAGTTTGGGTGTAGTCATAAATAAAAACATCCACATATCCACATTTATCAGGAAAAGTTTTCAATTACCTTCTTTACAGTTCTTCTTAAAGTTGTTTTTCTTCATGTATTTCAACCAAATAATATACCACAACATATTGAATAGAGAAGGAAGTATTAGAATCCAATTATTGTTTATTAAGGTATATACAGGATTGGAGAGGTAGCTGAGCAATTAAGAGTGCTATTCTTCCAGAGGTCTCCAGTACCCATACAGGATGGCTCACAACCACCTGTAAATCCAGCTAAAGTGGATCTGATATCTTCTAGCCTCTACAGGCACCTGCACATATGACACTTACACAGACACGCATTAATAAGACATAAAAACGAATCTTCAAAAAGATATATATTAAAGAGTTTTGCAAAAATATTCAATAATTCTCTCATTTTTTAATGGTTATTTTTATTTAAAATGTTTTGTTAGCACATGCATACTTAGCTGGAATCTAGCCAACTAGAGTGAGGATATGCATACTGAAAACTACAGAATCTAATCATTTTTTTAAAGAAATAAAATAATCTAAATAAATATGACAGCATGCCATGTTTATTGATTATAAAATTCAATTATCAGTGACAGATTAATTCTTTCCAAAGTGATGTATAGTTTTAACATGATCTTATCCAAAATTCCAGCAGGATTCTTCAGAAATTACAAATTAATTGATTCTAAAATTTATATTCTGAATGAATATATCAAAATAAGAAAAAAATTATATAATAATAAGAACATGAGGATTCACTTCACCCAGTTTTGAATCATACAATAATTAACACAGGGTGGTACAGGTTAAAGCATAGACAGGACTGAGGTGGCTCAGCTCAGTGATGGAGCACTTGCCTAGTGTTGCCTAAGGTGCTGGATTTCATTCTTAGCACGGAACAATAACAATAATAATAATAGTAAATGATAACAACAGACATGTAGCTCAATGGAACAGAATGGGGAGTATATATAATACATATATGCATACAATTAGTTATTGATGAAGTACATAGACAATTGGGTGAAAAATATAGACTTTTCAACACAGAATACTGGGATCCCGGGACATTCATTTGCAAACAAGCAAAACCAAATCTTAACCTATATCTAAATAGTATCAAAATGGATCACTGTCCTGATTGTAATACATAAAACATTAAAATTATTTAAACATATCAAATGACATTCTCATGAACTTGGATTTGGCAGTCTGACTGTTAAACAACCTTAAAAGACAAAGTTAATAAACTGAAGTTACAAAATTAAAATAATTTGTTTAGATAAGGACACAGTTAAGAGACTGAGGCAAGTTACACAAAGTATTTGCAAAGCACATTTCCAACAAAGACTTCTGTAGTGTGTGTCTGTGTGTGTGGGGTATGTGTGATGTGTGTGTGTGTGGTATGTATGGTGTGTGTGTGTGGTTTGTGTGGTGTGTGTATGTGTGTGTGTAGTATGTGTGGTATGTGTGTGATGTGTGCATGTGTGGTATGTGGTAGGTGTGAATGTGGTGTGTGTGTGTGTGTAGAACTCTGAAGATCTGTACTGGTTACTTTTCTAATTGCTGTAACAGAATACCTAACAAGAACAACCTAAGGAAACAAAGGTCTATGTTGGTTGACAGTCTGAGATGCACTCCACAGTGGTGGGAAGTCGACGGCGACAGTGGAAGGCATGTTCATATGCTCATATGCACACACAGACACACACACCCATACATAGGAAACAAAACCAAATCCCACCTACAGTCGTCATTTGTTTAAGAGGAATAAAAATTTAGATTTGCATAAAACCTATGCATAATTATTGAAACCTATGCTCATCTTGATTTTTATTTAAGAGTCTTTGGGCAAAGTTTTTTTTGTTTGTTTGTTTTTGTTTTTGTTTTTCAAGACAGGATTTCTCTGTAGCTTTGGTGCCCGTCCTGGAACTAGCTCTTGTAGACCAGGCTGGCCTCGAACTCCCAGAGATCCTCCTGCCTCTGCTTCCCGAGTGCTGGGAATAAAGGCGTGCGCCACCACTGCCCAGCCTGGGCAAAGTTCTTAAAAGAAGCAAGTTGGTGTGTCTGCTAGAGAAGTGGCTCTGGGAGTTAAATGGAGGAGAGCAGCCTGAACCTGACCAGAGTGTGCAATTTCAGAGACCATACGCTCAACAAGTTCAGAGGTTCTCCCCCTGGGCATCCTTGTAGGTGGTGCCTGTGAAGACACCCAATCTGGAACACTGTCTGCCCTGTACTCTCTGAGGGAAGAACCTGAAGGTGGGTAGCGTTCCGTCTGACTGCAGCAGCTCAATCAGATTATAATGTTGGAGGGTTTTTTTTTTTTGCATTTGTGGCATTTCTTGCACCTTAGTGATATGAAACAAATTCCTGCTGGCTCTACAGAAATTATTGGGAAGCCCAGGAAGAGGATGATGTGGACCCTGGAACAGTGAGCATTAGTAGAGCTCCCTGCTATGGTTTCATAAGAAATGTCCCTCACATTTGGTCCCATGCTGTTGCTAGCTGATAGTGATGTTTTTGGGACCGTGTGTGTGCGCGCGCGCGCGCGTACAATTGTGGAAGCTTTAGGAGGTTGTGGTTGTTTGAATGAGAATGATATCCATAGGTTCTTTGGAGGAAGCACATCACTGGGTAGGCTTTGATGTTTTAAAAACCCTAAGTAGGCCCAATAGCTTCCTCTTCCTGTTGCCTGCAGATCCAGATGCAGAACTCTTAGCTACTTCTCCAGCACCATGTCTGCCTCCACGTCACTATACTTCCTGCATGACGATAATGGACTAAACCTCTGAACTGTAAGCCAGCCCCAATGAAATGCTTTCCTTTATAAGAGTTGCCGTGGTCACGATGTCTCTTCACAGAAACAGAACAGTGACTAACACAGAGTTGGAGCCTAGCTGGAGGAAATGAATCTGGCTTTGGATGGCTGTTGCCTGAGGCAGAGTTTGAGGAGCAGACAACACAGAGTTCTGACAGAGTGCTCTTTGCCTCCAGTCTACTGCCAAGATGTAACTAGCCGCTCGGCCGTCTTGGTCCACTGTGCCTTCCCCATCAGCAATGACAGAAACTCCCCCAAATCATGAACCAGAACAAAGTCTTCCTCTCTCATGCTGCCTTGGTGGGGTGTTTTACCACCATGAGAAGAGAAACAACCAACATAATCATGTACCACAGAGGAGAAGATAGCCTGAGGTAATCTCCCGGAAGCTTCTTCACAGAGTTTGTGGACCACAGAGAAGAGTTCACCAGAGGTCCAGAGGAGGAAGGGACAGAGTTGGTGACATTTTAGTTGAGTTAATTTTGTCAAGAGGGAATGCTCAGTAGTTATAAGCCACGGACATTTCTGTAAGATGAGAACTTGCAAGTTTCTACGGGATATGATGACACAGGCTTTCAGCCCTGTGATGGGGCCATAGGCAGATGACTGATGGATGAGGATGAGGCTTGAGGACATGTGACCCTCACAGTTCTGAACTTGCCAACTCCATTAGCTGAAGAGTTAGAGGCCACTGGACATGATTCGAAGTTCTAGAGGAGAATTCTTCCATGGGCAGGCAACTAGCTCATCAACAACAAAGGGAGAAAATGAACTCAAATCGGGGTTTTGTGGTTTTAGAGAAACGGCCAGCTGGATACCCACCTGCCCTAGGTAATAGTGTCCCCTCCTGAAAGATCAGTCCCCTGGGTACTAAAGAACTAGGGGAAATTTTACTCAGAGAAACGATAAGTTTACTAGAATTGAAGATTTGCTCACACGCCCTCTCAAGTGATGCAGTGACGGAGGAACTGCGTAATCTCTTTGTGTCTCTTGCTTATGTCTACCACTCCATTTAATTCTACAGCACACAGGAGGCACACACACACTCAACATACGAGGAAACAGAGGGATTGGCTTGCCCAGGATCACACAGCTAAGTGAGTGGCAGAGCTGGAATTTGCACCTTCACGTCCTCTGGGTCCAACACCACTCTACTACAACAGGGTAATTAGAAGGAGCTCCTCAAAGCACAGACGTGACCACCTCTTCTAAGACTTGGGTAGAGAAGCCATTGGTGGCAGCCACATTCCTTGTCTTGCTAGAAGGAGCCGCGCTGGGGAGGCCCAAAGATCAGGTTTGGCCCTCTCCTTTTTCGGGGGTCTTCTTTAGCAGTTTTCTTTCTGGGTGGCCCAGGACTGGACATCTAGTATATGACCCTCCCAGTTGTCTGGACAGATGTGCTGTAAGATCGTGATGTTGTTTACTTCGGTGCTGAGCCGCAGCTTTCTCAAATGACAGGAAGTGAGGACCAGTGCAAAGCAGGTAGGGAATGAATGGCATGTGCCTTTTAAAGCCATTGACCCAGATCAAGGAGCCATGGAGGTGTCCTGAGTGACAGCCTTGTTGTGGAGTCCTGGGAACCATCCGTTTGTAGGTGAGGGAGGGGCCTCCTCCAAGGTGCTGAAAACTGCCAAGTCTAAGCTTCTGGTCATGTGACACTCCAAGGGTTGTTCCCAGCTGTCTCTGGGGAGTTGTTCCCCTCCTCCTATCCTGGAAAGATACACAGAACCAGTTGGCAGACTCTACTGAGGTGGCAAGTAGGAGGAGCTTCCCTGGCTCTGGGAATCTGCCGTGTGCAGAGTGCAGGGAAACAGCTTTAACAACCACAGTCCAGACTCCAAGTCCAGCTCTGGAGCTTGAGTGCCCTGTGGTTTGGGAGGCACACTTGGCTCAGCCAAGCCTTTGTCTCCTTGTTTACGGAGAAGGAGATAGCTTCCGTGTGTGCTCTGTGGAATGGCAGGCGCGCAGGAATAATGGAGGCAGGTGATCAGCGTGGCATCTGCTGAATTATTGTCCCTCTCCTCCTCATTGTCATTGCCAGGAGCTCTCTCCACGTGCATCTCCTCGTGTTCTCCCAATTGCATCAGAACAAGGGTGAGCAATTATGAGAAACAATGGCCCCCGGGAATCTAATCAAACCCCAGAGGCAACCAGATCTGCAGCCAAGCCGGAAGCTGGAAGTGGCTCTTCTCCACAGAGCTGTCACCTGCCCTGCTCCCAACAGCTCGCAAGGTTCTCATTTGCATCCCAGAGAAATTCCCATGGAAACTCAGCAGCTAACAGAGATGCCAAAGGGTTTGATTGCTATGTGGAGATGTTTGGGATCTGAGAACCTGGGACAATATTCCATGTTTGCCCCTTCCTGCCACTGCACACCTCCCCGGAGATTCTGGACTAGTTTGGGAAGTTACCACCCCCTTTCTGTAAGATTTTTAGCCTTTATAGATGTCCCAGGTTAAAGAAATGTATTTTCCATATCCTTTACAGAATCTGATTTTTTTTTAAACATTCTGTTACCTTACCCTCTCCTACCTGCCAATCAGCTTATAATTTGAAAAGTCTGACTGACCTACCTCGGAAAGAGCTGGTTAAGTGAAGAAAGGTGAACAGAAGTGGCCAAAGCCCTGCTACTCTGCCCCAGGTTTGGCTTCCAGAGTCATAGCCAGCTTCTTCTGGTGGACAGAGGTACCTGGCTGTTGTCTCTAATTCCTGGCCCCACAGCCTCTCAGGGACACCATGTGCTATCCCATCTGAGCCAGCCATTTAAGAAATGGGTGTGTCGTCCACATGTTTTCCTTCTGGCCACCAGCAGACAATATGGCTGTGACAGTCACACGATGGAAAGTCACAGGTCCTGGAAACCCCATGTGGAAGAAAGCCTCCAGCTACTGGAACACCCTCAAGGGACTGTTAATGGATGAGCCCTAGACTTTGATTCAGTTAAGCCGTGGAATATAGAGGCACTATTAGAATCCTGATACTGAGACGAGGAATACAGTGGTCACCACCCCCACCACCTTCCTTATGCCTTCGTGGGCAGACAAAGCAAGGAAAGAGCCAGAGGAGGGATCGCCTGGGCACAAATAAGAGATACAAAGTAAATAAGAAGTATCACAGTCTGGGCACATATAGACTGGGAAAAAGCTGTCTGTGGCCACAGACATGCGCATGCGTGGCAGTGGTGCAAGACAATCACTAGTGGAGTCGTAGTTGTTAAGGTTAATGCAGTAAATGCTAAAAAAAAAAAGTGAGGGAGCAGCACGGAAGGGTAAATATGACAGACGAGGCCAAAGGTCACCCACCCAGACCTGTTGTAAAGAAGTGGGTATTGACTGGGGCTTATGAACATGCTTCTTACTGAGCTAATACAGGCAGAGGGAGAGGAAGAGGGGGAAGATTGACACCAGAGGGCTGGTTCTGTGACACGTCTACTTTAGGAATGTTCTTCTCTTTCAAACTCGCTTCAAACCTCCTCTCCCAGCCAGGCCTTTGCCTACCTCTGGAGACATGGCTGGCTCATATGTCCGCGTTCCAAGCATGGCATCCACACTTCCTCATCACTTGCATCACACAGGGTAGAGGGTGCTGGGCTGCTCTGGGATCTCCTGGGCTTGGCGTGAGTACCTGGTATCACTGAGCTCTGATATCACTGGGGAAGGAATCAACGGACATTTGTGGGGCTGGGTGGTCAGAAGCCAAAGGTGAGAAACTCAGCAAGAAGCATGTCTGCGATGCCTGGGCACTGGGGCAGAGCACAGGCCATCTTGATTCTCTACCTCCATCATCAATGAAACATGCAACAGCTTCTTCATGTCACACACTTTTATTACTGAAGCTCATCTCTGGGAACTTCTGCAGATGTGAAGACTGTCCCCCTTCCCAGCCTGGAAGATATTCCCGAATGTTCCAGCTCTGAGGATGCTGCCCAACCACTCTGGCTACCTCCAGCTTGTGTGTGCTGTCCCGAGCTGCTCTGATCTCTTTGAACTTGCCTCTGAGACTGAGTCTCACAAGAAGTCTGGTAGGGCCAAGGAAGGTGAGGGGAGTGGAGCTGAGGAGAAGCAGGCGACCAGGAGAAAAGGCCTTGAGGAAGAACAGGACAACTTAGGCCTCCTAGAAGGGCTCTTCAGAGCTTCTGGGAACAGTTCTTGCTTTCTCCTCATGGCCATGTGAGTCAGTACAAAACTGAAAGATGAAGGAAGCCAGAAACAAACCGCATAGTCTCGGCTCAGTCCCTTGGGTGTAAACAATGCAGAGTGCCTAGACTTTGCCAGGGTTGCCAGGGACCCTGGGAGGTTAAGCAGGGCAGCACACACACCTTCAGTTCTTCGGACTAGCTGTAGTTCTTGGAGGCTAGAGCAGCATTTATCTTTTGGCAAAAATGACGATTTTCCTCCCTGAGTATCTCAAAGGGCCCTAGTCACCATACTTGTTTGTCCTGAGGATTTCATGAAGTCAGTAACATATCACAGGATGTTTCAGCAGTACAACTCCCACGAGACCCCTGGAGCTCATGAAATGATTCATGCCGAACTTCCCAAGGTCCCGAGGATTTTGAGACTCCTTAAAATTACATAGATTTCTATATTTTAAATATAAAAATAAAATAAAATCCATCTCAATAGCTTGTGACCAAAAGTACAGCAAGCCTGGGTCACAGTCATCACCCAGAGATGGAGAGCCACAGCAGAGGCCAGCTCTGGGACCCACAGCAGCACCCACAGACGGGCAGCCACAGTGGAACCCAGCTCTGCAGTCATCACCCAGAGAAGAACGGGTACGGCAGAGTCCAGCTCTGGGGTCCACGGCAGTCCCAAGAGGCCGAGAGGGCCTGCAACTCGCAACACCAATGGGTTTGGCTTTCCACCGAGGACAGATGGTCCAGGCACTGAGAAGGCAGACTCTGGCAAAAACTTGCTGCTGTTCAAGCGCAGCAATGGACACTGGCTGTTGGGTGCCTGTGCAATCTGGGCTGGCCGCCAAATCAGCGTAAGAAGAGTGACATCTGCGGCTGTCATCTCCCAGGCCCTTCCTGGTCTCAGTTTTGGCTCCACCTCCACTTATAGACTCTCAGGAACACACCTGGTGCCCAAACTCTTAACGCCAGATATCCAGCCTGGGATTCTGGGAAGAGCCAAGTTTTCCTGTTTGCTGAAGAATTTGAACACACACAGACACACAGAGAGAAGCACGCATGATGTAAGCACACGTGCACTACATATGAACTCTCACGGAGGCAGCATACATAGGTGGAAGGTTAAATGGGCCTGGTGACCATTGGCCCAGGTCCAGCAAACGGCCAGTCCCTTTAGCCAGGATCTTCATAGCAGTCTGTGATGTACGTGGAATTGGTTAAGATTTCTGGAAGCGTACCTCACTCTGAAGAGACCAGGAAATCAGAGTAAGGGTGGGCATGAAACATAGAAGCCCAAAGACTAGAAAGTCCAGAGCCTACCATCCCCTAGGACTGAATGCCAGCAGGCACATTCTCTGGGAGAAAGGTGTTGCACTCTGAGGCCCATGGCAGGGGTTCTGGTACAGTCTCCCTCTGCATTCTGCATTGTCTTCCCCTGCCCAAAGAATGGGGGGGGGGGGATTGGCCATAGCCCCAGCTTTATGGTTATAGACAGGAGACTGGCAAGGAGGCAGGGCCAGTAGATCCTTGTGTCCTGATGGTCACCTCCCTGCCATGGAAGGTAGCCTCCTAGCGCCCTCTAGTGGCCAATTTGTATACCTTTGGTTCTCGCTGGGGGAAGAGAACAATATTGGTGCTGGAGCCAAGCCTAGATTCACCCTTTTATAACCCTCTGGGCGCTGTTCCAAGGGACAGGAAGGAAGGAAAACAGACATACTGGTCGTGTCCCAAGCCTGACATCTAACCCAGACATCTTGGTCTGGTCCCAAGCCTGACATCTAACCCCGACTTGGACATTCCCAAAGGCCCAGGACTCAGGTGGCCCCTCTCTAAACACACCCCACCCTCCTCCAGGCTCATCCCTGTGCGGACCGCTCACCTCCATCTTGCTATAGATCCAGGGGAGTACTTCTGTCACTTTGGTGTACACACCAGGCTTGTTCCTCTGGCCACAGCCTGTGCCCCAACTGGTGACACCTGCCAGGTACCAGCGGTTGTTCTGCTCACAGACAAGAGGTCCTCCGCTATCTCCCTGCGAGGAAGAGCCAGAGAGTGAGTCAGCCTGGTGCAGAAGGGGGGGGTCAAAACCAGGAAAGGATGGATCTCCGGTTCCCATGTTATCCTAGCACCCCCGCAATCTCCCATCTCCAGGGTCCTGAGACCTGAGCCCCACCCACAAGGACTTCACCTGGCAGGAGTCCCTCCCTCCTCGAAGGTCCCCAGCACACATCATCCTCGGGGTAAGGTAACTGTCATAGACTGAGTAGCCATTGCACTTCTTGAAGTCGATGAGGTTGACCTGAACCTCTCGAAGATAGATAGATGTCTTCTCTTCAGTGAGGTGAACATGGGGAGAGAGGATTAGAAACCAATGAGACAGCGAGAAGCTTCACAGCCGTCAGTTGCTCCCTCTGGACCCAAACTCTGGGTCTTCTGGGAGTAGAGAGCACCATGTCTGTGCCCAAACCCACCCCAAGGAGGCCGTTAATGGTGGAACACACATTCTCACACTATACACAACTCACTGGCCATACTGAAACAGAGACTTGTTCCCACGTGAACTCACAAGCCTGTGGGGTACCTGACTGTGATGGTTTGTACAGACTTGACAGGGCCTCATCACCTACGAAAGAAACCTCAGGGAATGTCTGGGAAGGATTTTCTTGACTAGTTAACTTAGGTAGGGAGACCCTCCCTAAATCTGGGCAGCACTGTTTTGTGGGCTGAATAAAAACAAGACAGAGAACTGAGTAGCAGTACCAATAAAAGTAATACTAGTAATACTACTTAATAGTAGCCTCTCTGCTTCCTGACTACAGACACAGTGTTACCAGCTGCCATGACATCCCTGCCGTGAGGGATTGTATCCTGGAACTGTGAGCTAATAAACCCTTCCTCCCTTAAGTTATTCTGCCAGGTGTTTTGTGGCAGCCACGGGCAGGGTAATGAACACACTGAGTTGGCACACTCGTTTACATTCAAAGAACCATCTCATATGCCATTTGTTTCCAGAAGCCTCGAGACTTTAGGGCAGGTCTTGATCTCCCACTTATATGTCTAGACCCATAGGACTGAAGAAATGGTTTGCCCCCCTCTTTGTAGCTAATCGGTGAGGTTTCCACTAGAGGGAGCAGGAAACAGTGACCTGAGTGGTGAAGGTGGCCTGAATGTAAGGACCAGGCTGGCCAGGCCACAGTGTTGTGGACAGTCATCTATAGCTGACCCCAGACAAGATGCTCAGACTGAATGAGTTCAAGTAAAACTACTCCACCGTTCCTCCTTCGCTGTCCCAGCCAGGCCTAGTGGTGCAGGTCTGTAATCTCAGTACCCGGAGGCTAAGGCAGGAAGATCAGCTGAAGGCAAGCCTAGACTGCAAAATGAGTGTGGCTTCTGCTTTGGCAGCCTACTGAGTACAAAGGCCTAGCCATGCCATTCAGTAGTAGAGCACTTCTTTTTAACATGAGCAAGAGGCTCTGGGTTCAAGACCCAGTACTGCAAATAAAAAGTCCTTATGTAAACCACAGACATTAACATCCTCTCTCCCAGTCAGTCCAGGGCTCATTGCTTCTCCTCCATCATAGTCGTAGACTCTACCTTCCTTCTGGATGAGATCATTAAGTTTTCCAGCCACTGCTCCTCAACAGCATCCAACCTAGAGGAAAGTACCACTTCCTAGAACTCTCCCCAGCTTCCCACATCCTACAATAAGCTCTTTTAATAGTTTCTTTAAAAAAATATTCATTTTATGTGTATGAACTTTCTTGTCTATGTCTGCTGTGGGATAATGCTCTTGAACACTGTAAAAATTTATCACTAGCATTAGCTTAATAAAATATTTATTGGCCAGTAGCCAGTTAGGAAGTATAGATGGGGCAACCAGATTAAAAGAATTCTGGGGAGAGGAAAGGCAGAGAGTCAGTCACCAGCCAGGTGCAGAGGAAGCAAGATAAGAATGCTGCACTGAAAAAAGTCACCAAGCCGCGTGGCTAAACATAGACAAGAATTATGGGTTAATTTAAGTTGTAAGAACTAGCTAATAATAAACCTGAACTAATAAGTTAAACAGTTTATAATTAATATAAGCCTCTGTGTGTTTCTTTGGGACTGAATGACGGTGGGACTGGGTGGGACAGAAACTTCTGTCTACATATGTCTATGTTACCTGGTCCCCTTGGAGGCCAGAAGAGAGCCTTGGGTCCCTGGAACTGGAGTTACAGGCTATTGTGAGCCACTATATGGGTGCTGAGAATAAAGCCCAGGTCCTCTGAAAGCGTAGGAAGAACTCTTAACAACTGAGCCGTCTCTCCAGTTCTTCTAACAGCCTCTTACTGAAAAGTGTGTTTCCCCTTACTGTCGTGAACAGTAAACCCACGTTGTTCAGCTGGGGGACTTCCTAGCAGTCTTGCCTAGAAGGTGTTCTCACACAGACTGTGCTGATAGAATCACAGGCATCTATGTTCATATATTAACCATGAGTCTGTACATTCAAACTCTCGCCTGGATAGACCTTCATCTCCATACATATGGCCTACAACAGGCGCACACATTCTCAGGTGTCAAGTTCATATATTAACCACGAGTCTGTACATTCAAACTCTCGCCTGGATAGGCCTTCATCAGCATACACATGGCCTACAACAGGCGCACACATACACACACACACAATGTACACACGTGCACACACACAGCCTCGCATCTCTTCCTCTCACCGTCTGTCTCCTTGGTTTTGCCGAAGCCAGTGATCCAGCAGGTCTCATTGAGGCCGAAGGTTTGTCCGTGCATAGGGAGGCAGGCAGGGTGGATGTGAGCTGCAACAAGACATTTGGGTGTCAGTAAAAGAGCAAGGCTGGGGGTTTGGGTAGAGGTCGGGGTGAGGCAGAGCAAATGATTTGTAAAAGTGTGTGATCCTTGCTCTCTCACTAGCTTTGAATCCTCTAAGGTTTTGGACTGACCAGACCTGAAAGTCAGTCATTTCAACTGACCCTGGCAGCCCTCAGTGTGCTGCCGGCATCCACAATGCCATTCTGGTTCCAGTGTCATTGTGTACACTCGACAGAGAGCTTTGGGGGCTTGCTGAAGCCAGGCTGGCAAGGGGGGAAAGTCTCTCCCCAGCAACAGCAGTTCTGGCTAAGAATCTCCCAGGCCTTTCTCTTAAAGCATGGAGAATGAAAGGTACATTTCTGATGTTAGGGCTATGCTGCATGCCACCTGACCCAGGTGGGCACCTGTTGGCTGGCCATCACTTGGGGCTCTCTGTCTGAACAGTCATCCGACATAGGGCAAGTAAACCTTCCACACAGAAAGAGTACACACCTGAAAGCCAAGTCCACAAACCCCTGATAACCAGCTCCCGTGCTGGGCACCATCAACCAAGTGTTACTGCCCATCACTTCGCAAGCTCCCTCAGCGTGGGATCCCCTTAGGTGGTCTGTGTTACTGACCACTCAGCTCCAAAGCGTAGGAGGAAAATACTCGCTGGTAGAGTTTTGCAGTATGCTCAGTCATCTGATAGGTCACTACTGCATTCTGCACCCATTTCTAGGCCTGACCCAGGCTCAGGGATCTATGAACATTTGAGGAGGGAGGGAGAGGCGAATTTGGGTTGTGATTGTTGGTTTTAGATGCCAACTTGCAATATCTGGCATCCCTTGGGAAAGGACTCTCAATTGAGGAGTTATCTAGATCAGGCTGGCCTGTGGGCATGTCTGTGGGGGATTATCTTGATGTTAACTGATGGAAGAAGATCCAGCTCTTTGTGATCAGCTCCAGTGCACAGGCGGAGCCCTGGACTGTCTAAGAGAAGAGAAAGCAGCAAGGATGCCTCTGTTCCCTCTCTCTGATCTTGACTGTGGATGTGATGTGACTAAGCTGCAGGAGCTCCTGCCTTGACTTCCCTGAAAGGATGAACCATAACCTGGAATTGCAAGCCAAAAAAAAACCTAACCCCCATCCCAACCTGTGTACCTTTTGGTCAGGGCCCTTTATCACAGCAACATAAATGAGACTGGAGCATGTGCTAAATTCTTTCATGAACTGGGTCTTAAACATTGGTATCTATACATTTTGTCTGCTAGACCAAACATTGGTATCTACACACACACACACACACACACATTAGTAAATGAAAATGAAAGGGTAATATCAACTATTAACAAAAAAAATCAAATCATGATTCCCTCTTTATGCTCACTGTTGAAAATGTGTCTTAACGTGTAACATGGTTGTATATGTTCTGTAGCTGTAGATTGCTCTTGTTTCGGGGGGGAGGAGTTTAAATTATTGAGTTTTCACAGAAAATACTGTAATTCAGGAAAATCCTGCCCAGATTTGTAAACCAAAAATCCAATCATATGGTGACCACAGGGTTACATAAATCTGAACTGTGGTTCTTAGACTTCAGGTCTGCTTCATGCCCCAGGACCACACCAGGAGGGAAACTAGGTTAAACACAGGTAGGTGTTCAGCCAGGTGGGTTTCAGAGTTGTACAAAGTTGAGAATCCCTGTCGAGGTTCATGTTTTGTCTGTTGCAGGGGAAAATGCTGCTTGAGCTCCCAGCTTAGGGCTCCATAGATGAGCCTGGATGGATGTAGTCATAGCCCTAGGCTCCATAGATGAGCCTGGATGGATTTGGCCATAGCCCTAGGCTCCATAAATGAGCCTGGGTGGGTGTGGCCATAGAGATGCAGTTCAGAGACAAGACTGCACATCAGAGTTCTGCCCAGCGCTCTTTCTCCTCACCCCATTCCGATGAACTATCTGCTCTGATGGGTGGCAGACACTGTTTCCTATGGATGTGCAAGGAAACACCAGTTCATAGACTCAAGGCTCCAGAATGTCTGGCCTAATCAGAGCTCTCCAAGGAAGGAGAAGTGCCTGCTTCACTTTCATGAGACTTTTCTTGGGCTTTTCTTACACCCCATTCTTCAGACTCTCTTCTAAGCTTCCTTAACCTGTCTTCACCAATCTCTTTAAAGACTTTAATTTTTAGTTATGTATGTATGCTTGTCTGTGTATGGCTATGTACACAAGAGTTCAGGTGTCTATGGAGGCCAGCAAAGAGCATCAGGTCCCCTGGAGCTGGAGTTTATGAGCCGCTGGACACAGGGTGCTGGGGCCTTGGGTCCCCCTGGTAAAGCAGTATCTTCACTTAGCCACCGAGTCTTCCCGCCAGTCCCACCAGTTTGTTAAGAAGTCACCTTAGCTATCCTCTGCACTGTCCCTAGCCTGCCATGCCTGACTGCCTTCTCATCTCCTTCTGATTCCCTCACATGACACCATGGGCCCTCTCTGGTGGTCTCAGTGCACCTGTTCTAATTGCCATTGTCTGTGTGGAGGACACATAGGAAGGAGTGAGCACTTGAGCGACCAAATGAAAGAAGGCTCCTTTGACCATCAGTGTCCCCACTGATCTGAGAACATCTGTAGCCTTTCTGTCATGTAGCTTTGCTCCCAAGTTGGAGCAGTGAGCCCCTCAAACCTGGGCTCATCTCGTGTTCTCTACCAGAGTCAGGTAGCGAGGACCTTGACTTGGAGTCAGATCCTTCTGGATACCATCCAGGAGCTTCTACTGCCTGTCACTCACACCCTCGGTTAACCTCTCTCTCTAAAGCTCTTCTTCCCCATAGGTCAGAAGGAGCCCATAGGCTCAGCTCTCCTGGGCTGGTGGGGAAGATTTCACACAGTCATACATATCAAGTATCTCCCAATGTGTTATGGCTCAGATGTAAAATGCTTCTACATGATTGAGCACTGGATCCTGGCTGGTGGCTCTGCTTTGGGAGATCATGGAACCTTTAGAAGGTGGTCTTTGCCAGAGGAAGTAGATTGCAGGGATGGACCTAAAGATTCATGTCCCATCCCACTTCCTGGTCTCACTTGGAACAAGCAGATACATACTCCTGCTGCCTTGAAGCCACATGCTTTCTACTGTGCCTTTCCTCCATGGACTGCATCCCTTCAGCCATGAACCAAATAAATCCTTCTGACCTTAGAATGCTCCTCCTAGGTGTCCTCTCACAGCCATGCCATGAGCAGCTGATGCACACTGTCTGGCAGCTACTATGTGCATAGTTACTAGCATTGAGTCAATTCAATCCATTTACATTTATTAAGGCCAGTATACAAGCCCTATCGCTTTGGCCAATTTATAATGTGAGACATGTCATTTGGGGCACACATATTTCTAAGTCTTGGGCCTAAGTCTCCCCAATTCGTATTCTCTTTCTTCCTCTCCCTGTGTGTTGTTCATATGTATGTGTGCGTGCATGCACACACACATGCACATGCAGACACGTGTAGATGCTGTTGCCCATGCAAGTGTATGCAGTCAAGGATTAATGTCAAGATGTCTTTCCTCATCCATTTCCACACCTTGTGTTTTGAGACAAGTTATCTCATTGAACTAGAAGCTTTGGCTGGCATCAAGCCCCTGGGATCCTCTTGTCTCTGCTCCCCAGTGCTGGCATTGCAGGCACATGCCGCCATGCCCAGCTTTTTACTCTTGTTCTGGGGGTCTGAACTCAAGTCCTCATTCTTGAGTGGTCATCACTGTATGCACTGACTCATCTCCTCTAAACCCCCAGTTTTCTGACTTGTAAAACAATATTTCATGTAATCTCTAAGTTTCCTTGGCGTTTGCTACAACGACACCCTGGAGCCTTAAGCTGGGCGAACAGGGGCTGCAAGTCCAGGTGCTGGGAATCGGGGACCCATTCACTCACGTGACAGGGTCAGAGGCTTGGAAAGCCTCATGAGGGCGATGTCATAGTCATCCTGCTTATCGGTGTAGTTGCCATTGATGATGATCTGGGAGATAGAGGCAGCTTCAGGCAGCTGGTGCAGGTTACTGGTGCCTGCATACACCTTCCAACCCTCCAGAACCATCTCCTGGGTCCTACAAGAGCCACAGAGTATGAGGGCTGCAGTTATACACCTGACACAGTTCACTGGCAAGACCTGCTACATACGGGCAGTCAAAGCAGGAGCACTAGGCTGGAGACAGGGGGATGGATAAAATGACCTCTGAAGGAGTCCTCTCTCTTGTGAAGCCTAAAAATGGCCTCTCGGTCTCCTCAAAATTGTTCTGAACTGGCTGCCCTGAGCCTTAGAGTGGGGGAAAAACCAAATGAATGAATAACTCCTCCGTGTGTCATGCACTCCCACTACCCCATCTGTGTGCTGCTAAGGATGGAACGCGGGAAGTGAGACAGATGTCACCAGCCACGGAGATTTAGACAGGACAAGGTAGTGAAGATTATTTACGCGGGGAGCCAGTTTCCACAAGATCTGTGCTATGGGTCCCCAAAGGCTGCTAGGGACCCTCAGAAGCCAGCTGTGCCACCCTCTAGCTGTCCCTGTCCCTCACGTCCTGAGACAGCATTCTCGATCGTCACTCTTGTGCTGTTAGGTCTTCAGCTGTTGTTGCAGAAGGTGGTAACAACAAGCCTGGGCTTCATTTCGTCTGCTCTCTGGGAAAGGGTCTGAAGTCTTCTGATCTGCCTCACTCTTCCTAGGGGCCTCGTTTCTCATCCTTAGCTCAAATTCAAAGCCAAACCCTTAGTCACATTTGATCTTTGGGGCAGTAGCTGACCCTGAGGACTAGGCTTACACTAAAGTGTCCATAAGCCCTTCCTAGTGACTCCAAGTCCCCAGCAGCATCTAATCAGGGCCTCTCAGGCACTTACGCAAAGAAGCAGTGGGCAGCGGTGAGCACCCACTGGGCATCGATGAGTGTGCCCCCACAGATGTGGGTCGTGCGAAAGTGCAGGCTGACTTGCCAAGGCCACTTGGTCTCTGAGGTCACGGCTCCTCCCACGATCCGCCCGGTCATAGCTCTCAGACCACAGTCTGGGGATAATGGAGAGGACAAAACATGACACATGCTTCTTTTAGAGCCTCTCCTACCCCTCTTGGGACTCGCTCAGGACAAGGAGGGGCAGCCTGATGGGTGTGCTCAGATATGGGGCTCGCAGAGGAGAGAGTGCAGCATGCTGCCTGAGCAGTGGGCACTGCAACCACAGCCCGCACCCTGACTTCACCAAAAACATAGCTCTGGTGGAGCTCCTCACCTGCCCGGGTTCTGATCTTAGGTGGGGGACACTGGGTAGTAGTGGCAGTTGCCCTGTAGGGCTCTCAACGTCAGTAACTACAGCCATATCTGTACAGACGGAGGTGCGGTACCCTCCACGGACAAGCACGAGTGTTGACACAAAACTCCCAGCTAGCCCGCACCTGCTGTCCTCCCTCAGTTCTCAGCTCTTAGCGAAAGTCCAGGGGACTCATGTGAGATGTCAGGGCTGGACTTCCCAAGGTCAGAAGGACCAGGAGGGAAATATTACCCAGAACAGACTCACTGGCCTGGATCCTAAGAGCAACCATCTTCCCTAGAAAGGTTCCATCCCTTTGCCCTAGAAAGCCCCCTCACTCCCATCCTCAAAGGCCACACTCCAAGAAGAAAAACAGCTTACGGGAACACTGGAGGGAGACATAGCGCTGGGAGGGGCACTCAGACCTGCAGCATGAGACAACAAAATGTGAGAAAGGGGTCAATAGCTGCTTCATTCTCCAGACTGGCACCTGCTCAGATCCTGTCCCATTTCCAAGGATGCTACCTTTAACAAAGGAGGTGGGGACTCAGACCGTCCCTCTCCCAGTGGGTGATTCTCCTTATAGTGCTTTCTCCAGAAATATGGATGCGAGGAAGCTATCTCCACCATCATCCCCTTGCCCTCCCAGCTTTCCTCTGGTGAGCCACACATATAGTCTAGTTCCACGTTCTTTGAGCCCCAGTGAGCCTCCATGGTCCCAAACTCTTTCCACAGCTAAACAGACCCTAATGTTCCTCTTCTATAGCCTCCTGCTTCTCATTGTAGCACACGGGGGTCCTAGCCCAAAGCAGGCACCGAGGGACCATCTCTCAACTGGAGGCTTGTTTCTTCTCTCACCCTCACATTAGGTAAGCAATCCATGGAAGACTTCCATCTTTAGGGGCAGGGGGTGACTGGGATGAAGAGGAACTGCTGTATACAAAGATGACAGGAGGGGCCGAAGCTTCGCAGATGGACCTCCTGGGCCCAGGCCACTTGTCAGTCCCCTGTTCCTGTCCCCAGTGATGCATCTTTCCATTCGAACACCACCAGGTGGAGCCTTGTGGACTAGATCTCTGTGGCCCCATGGTTTCTTAGTCATCTTTTAGATCCGGTAAACTGTTTGAGATTAGGAGGCAGGGGCCTCTGACCTTGGGGTGATCTCAGCCCCAGATCTCAGATAAGATCTTTGAAGCCCTAGGTGTCCATAGCATTTTGCAATGGAGCCTGGGAGTCTGGGTTCCAGGAAAGCATGAGAGAGGGGCTCCGTGACACTAAGCACCGCCCCACCTCAGCCCTCGGCACTGTCGGTTGTTACACTGCACCTGTACAGGCTCTCCTGGATGGTGGAATTGTACTTGGACAGTAGAAAGCTGCTGGTGACGTCCCTGTGGGCCACCGCGGATGTTCTGTAAGCGCTGCAAAGAGGAGGGAGAATGAGTACCTGCAGTCAGCAGACCCTAAGTCCTCCAGCAGCATCAGAGCCCTACGTCCTGGCAGACAGGCAGGACAGAATGGCCCGTGTGGTGGCCACACCTGCACAACATCCAAAGCCTGGCTCTGCCACATGCTCCACCGCTCCCTGGCGCCAGCCCTATAGCTAGCCCAATAGCTCTCCAGTATGGTGTAGGTCTGGCCACAGCACCAGTTCCTGGTTAGAAAGGCACGTTCTTGGCTCCACCTCAAATGGACCGAAACCGCTCTGAGGGGCACCCAGCCACCTATGTCTTAACAGCTCCAGGCAGTCTGGTGCATCCTTGACTGTAAGAACACCCAGCTAGCCCTTTATGTCGGGACTGGCTGGTTTTTACATCAACTTGACACAACCTAGGGTCATCTAGGAAGGAAAAAAAAACCCTTAATTGAGAAAATGTCTCCATAGGACTGGCCTGTAGGCAATTCTGTAGGGTATTTTCTTCCTTAATGACCTGGGAGGGCCCAGCTCACTAAGAGTGGTGCCATTCCTGGGCAGGTGTACTAAGTTGTCTAAAAAGTCAAGCTGAGCAAGCTGAGCAAGCCAACAGCTCACTCACGGTCACCCGGAGAATGATCTGGTATAAATGATGGTGACTCTCAGAACAGTTTGCCTCTGAATTATTGTGAACATTTGCTTAAAAAGTTCTAAGTCCTAATTCTAGAGATTCCGATGTGCGGTCCATTTTTACAAGCACCCCGGTGATTGCAGTATGTTCTACTCTGCCTGGAACTTATGTACATTTCTAGAACATTCTATATCCTTTCGTGAACTGGGCCTGAGAATATGCCCCATTCCTCTACCCAAGCACAGTTAAGAATCTCCTCCATTGTGTCCCAACAGAGCCCCCCACAAACCCTTGGTGTGGGACTGTTGGGATAACCCTTTCCCACATCACATTAGAGGGTCTGGTTCTGTTCTTTCATGCCTATGAGTCCCATAATCTCCTAGAAGCTCTGTGGATGCTCTTTGCATAGATGGCAATGGAAGAGAATGCTGAGGACTTTCCGCTTGTACGAGATCACACACAGACAAAGATGCTGGGACTTAAGCCTGGAATAGTCAGTCCCTCCTTTACACACCAGGACTCTGAGACTGAGGTAGGTGCAGAGAACACACTCCGAGTCCTGGCTCCAACCCTATCTTTCTAGGTGTTTCTTCTAGGGGAGCTCACAGTCTCACACTCACCCATTCAACCCTAAACCACTCAGCTGAAGAACTCGGAGAAAGGACTGAGGATGATCCCAGCTGGGAAAGTGCTTGTCACAAAAGTGCGAAGTCCTACGTAAAGGCAGGTACTGTGAAGTTCACTGTGAAGTACAGACAGGACGATCCCTGGGGCTCGATGGCCAGCCAGAATAGCTCACCTCACAAGCTTCCAGCTGATAAGAGACCCTCTCTCAAAAAATAAGGTGACTGACTCCTGAGAAACACCTGATGCTGACCCTACACACATACATACATACTTGTGCAACCACACACATACACACACACACACACAACTCAGACCACGATGGTGAATCTTCGAGGTGCCTATCTGGCCTTCAGGTGAGAGGACCCTTCAGGTAGGAAGGCTCCCAACACTGGTTCCTTGGTGTAAAACGTTTAAAGCTGAAGCCTCACCGGACTGGCCAAACCGCACCTGTCCTATCCTGTTTCTCATTCAGTGAGCCTCATAACTAAGCCACAACTGCTGCAGTTCAAAGCACACTGAAAGTTTTGCACGTCTGAGCTCTTAGTGCCCAGTGTAAGAAATGAGATCTGTACAAACACCCACCCTCCTCACAGAGCCATCCCAGAACCACTCAGTTGGTGATGGCCCAGAAGGTGTTTTCACAAAAAGAGCCCTCGAGAGAACAATGCAATCACAGCTTCCCCAACACACAGTGGGGAAAAGGCAGTGTCCTGGCTTGGTGGCATCAACAAGGGTCTTGTAAGGCTCCTTTCCTTCTCCCTCCTTCCCTCCCCTCCTTACTCTCTCTCCTTTCTTCCTCCTCCCCCTCCTCTCTTCCTTCCTCTTCTTTTAGTTTTTGAGGCAGGTTCTAATGTGGGAGTGTCATATATCAATCTGTTTATTTCATTGGTTAAGCAATAAAGAAACTGCTTGGCCCTCATAGGTTAAAACATAGGTGGGAGGAGTAAACAGAACAGAATGCTGGGAGGAAGAGGAAGTGAGCTCAGACTTGACAGCTCTGCTCTCTGGAGCAGAGACACCAGGCTCCTCTCTCCCAGGCAGCTCCGACCCAGGATGGACATAGGCTAGAATCTTCCCTGTAAGCTCACTTAGCGATGCTACACAGATGATTAGAAATGGGCTAAATTAATATGTGAGAATTAGCCTAGAAGAGGCTAGATAGAAATGGGCCAAGCAGTATTTAAATGAATACAGTTTGTGTGTTGTTATTTTGGGGCATAAGCTAGCGAGGTGGCCGGGGGTGCTGGGGACGCAGCCCCGCCGCTCATATTACAACAAGGTTCTCTCTGTCCAGCTCATGCCAGACTCTCATTCCACGCTTACCTGTTAAAACCCAGCTGCTGGCAGGTCCTGTCAGAGTCGCTGTCACTCCAGCTGCTGCTGCAGACAGGGAGCCACTCGCCAGAGGACCCAGAGTAGACCTTCAGCAGAGACCTGTCCCAGTCGAACCTGACTGCAGGACAGAGAAGGGCAGAGGAGGGTCTCAGCACCCAGGAAACTCCAGGCTCATGGGAACAAGTTGTGGGAGGCTCTGGGAGAGGTGTGGGAAGGCTGGGCTGGCCAAACAGTGATGTCTGGAGGCCCAAGGCCTTCATAAGCACAGAGTTAAGACCAAGGGCTATGGCTGGGCATTGGTTCATCCATCAGGACCCAGGAGGCTGTTGCTGGGAGACGAACAAGCATCTCACCCTTAGAAGGTAATGACATGATCAGAAGAGAATATGACAAGGAGCACAGCATTGATGACCTGAGTGTGTGCTCATGGAACAGCCTTGTTCCCAGATAGGTGCAGTCATGGGCAAGGGTGTGTGAGACCACGCAAGCACAACCACAGAGGTCTAGAGCCCAACAGGTCTTTGTGCTTGGCTAGGACTTGAAGAAACCAAAGGGGTCACAAGTCTGAACATAGAAATTGGGCTCAGAGCACCTTCGGCCTGTTCTCCAGTCAGATTTCCTGTTTTTCTCTGTCTGACAGAGTTTACGTCACCGTCACCAATCTCATCCAGACCGTTCATTTTAAAAGTTAGCATCAGAAGCTCTAAGATGCAGGTAATACATCCATGTCATATAATGTTCAAAACCAAGTTCAAATCTTTGTCTGCTGTGACTCAAACCAAGATCTTCTAATTCTCTGCCCATTGCCTTTGCCCGAGCTACTACATTTCATATTGTGTGTAGTCCCCAGAGTGTACAAACAGGTGCCGACACATGCACACACACACCCATGCACGTACACACGCACGCACACACACACATGCTTCCCCCTGCTCAGCCTTCTTACCACAACCCAGCTCGTCAGTTTTAATTTTGCAGTCCGCCACTCCATCACACACACACACACACACACATGCACGCACACACATGCTTCCTTGTGTTCAGCCTTCTTACCACAGCCCAGCTTGTCAGTTTTAATTTTGCAGTCCGCCACTCCATCACACACACACACATGCACGCACACATGCACGCACATGCTTCCCCGTGTTCAGCCTTCTTACCACAGCCCAGCTCCTCAGTTTTCATTTTGCAGTCCACCACTCCATCACACACACACACACGCATACACACACACACATGCACGCACACACGCATGCACATGCTTCCCCGTGTTCAGCCTTCTTACCACAGCCCAGCTCGTCAGTTTTCATCTTGCAGTCTGCCACTCCATCACAGCGAACGGCGTGGTTGGAACAACTCTCTATCGGTTCTTTGTGTTTGATCCCTGTGTGGCCTCGCCAGAAGTAGACTGGAAAAACAGAACAATCGACAAAGCAGACAGCTGGTCATTACCAGCAATTGCAGGGCAGCATGCTCAGCAGCCCAAGGCCCTGGGGATTCTCAGACACCGACCTGCAATCCCTCTTGGACTCTGGGGCTCTCGTCCCCCATCTGTATGGAGAGAAAGGCTGCTCAGGAGTGTTCTAGGAAGCTCCCACAATCAGAGCAGCCCCAGAAAGATTTGAACAGCCAGCTACCCAGAAATGGAAAGAAAGAGACCAAGAGAAATAACCAGAGATGGCCATGAATTGTACTGTGGAAGCTTCCTTACCCTATGTGTTAGAAAGGACAGTAGTCAGAGAAACTTTCTCTTTCAGTATCCCAGAGTTCCCTATTGGAACCCCTCTGGCAACTCCTCTTCTCTGTGCTACATACATACAAACATACAGAGAGAAGGTGGAGGGAGGAAGAGAGAAAGAGAGAGGACAGAGAATACTGGTACCTGGCCTGTCTTCTTACCAGATAGCAGTTTCTGAGTTTGCGTCCTCCTCCCTCACCCCTAAACATGTGTGTCTCTTGTATTTGGCCCTTGCTTCTCTGCCTCTCCTTATGCCTTTCTGTGTTTTCTTATTCCACAAGCAACATTTGGTTCCTTTCCAAATGTGCAAGGAAGCTTCTCACACCTTCTTGGGAACCAGTTCCAAGTCTTCCTCTGCCTCTAAGCCTGATCTATCACTCTACTGCCCAAGACAGCTCTCTATGCAGCGCCCCATCCCCCAGGCCTGTCATCTAATGCCAAATCCCAGCCTCTGCTTCTCCTCAGCTCTGACCCCATGCTGTCTCCCCAGCTCCACCATGGTCGTGGTCACTCAGGAGACGGCCCCCTGCTGAGGCAGTCTCTTCCTAGTGCAGACACACAGTGTCCTATTCCCTCAGGGCTGTATGCTCTCCTCTCAGCGGCTTTCTCTCCTCCTCCCACACCCCAGATGCTGAAGCTCTAAGGAGTCCTGGGCATCCCTCTCAGGGCTTGGGAAACTGCACAGCCAGGGATCCCTGGGAAGTGTTTTGGATGGAGTGATGATGGGAGAAGAACCAAGAGGCTGGGCTTGACTAAAGATCATACTACCTCTCTGGCCTCCATGAAGGAGTGGTGGGGACTTCGGGAAATGTTGTAGAACCAGGTTAGAGCTTTAAGGCTACTTGGTGAGCTTGCCCTTGAGTGTCTCTTGGCCCTCCACGGGTCATTCCCATTGTTCTCAGAAGCAAAGAGGGAAGGAGCAGATACAGGGTATCAGCTCAAGGCGACCTGGAAGCCATTGCATGACCACACCACCTGGTCAGCAGGTGGGAAACTGAGACTCGAAATGACAACTAACTTGCTGACATCATACAGCTCATGAGCAGCAGAGGCGGGATGCTGGAGCAGGAATGTGTGGTCGCAAATCTATGCTCTAACAGCACGCTTCCCTCTTCCCCTAACAGCCGCGCCACCAGAAGTATCCATGCACCCATCCATCTCTCCGTTTACCATCTCATGCTGCCTCTTCCACAGTCTATGGTTAAAGCTTTCCGGCCTCGTGTAACTAAACAGATGGGCTCCAGGCTCCCAATGTGCATCTCCTCGTTGGGTGGATGCATTCCTCCCCTCCACCCAATGCAGACCTCGACCACCTGCCCCCCCCCCATATGCACACACGCCTCTGACGTTCAAGAGAGGCACCTCTGCTCTCACACTTTCCAGGTCCTCACTAGGAATTGCATGCACCCTATCCGGCGCCACTCTCTCTTTTTCCTGACAGTCACATTGAGGTCACTTAGCCTGATTTACTTTTAGCTCTGTTCCTCAGGAGTGGATGACCTTTCCTGGGACGGAATAGCTTGAGATTCGCTCATCCTTGCTCCCTCCTAGGCTCCCCCTTTTGGGCTGGCTTCTAATGGATTGCTGATCAAGGAGCTTAGGGCATGTTCTGAGTATCTTTTCCCAAAGGACAACATGAAGGGCCTGGATCCCAGACAGCACATCTTGACCCCTTGACCTTCGGAGGCTTTTCCGTTATTTTAATGGCATATTGGTTTTCATAGACAGCTATATGTTTTCATAGTGAGATTTTATGCCAAAAATTGTACACTTCCCTTATATAGTTCTCCTGGTCCAGGTAAATTGGAATCTTATGAAGTATGGGCTGAATTGAATGATTAATGACGAACTGGATCCCATTTAATGTTACTGAAACACAGCCCAACAGAGTTCGTGCAATTGCTCCAGTGAATCCTCAGAATTCAGCTGCAATGATGGGCCCTAACCCACAATCCCATGGTACTCCACACTCTTAGCCCAGTCGTCTCAAAGGACCCATAATCCAAGGTCCTTATGCTGATATGAGTCCCCCAGTCAGTCCCTGTGGTACGGCTCCATGACCCCATTTCATTCCGAGATGACCCAAACCCACCCTGTCCCCTCTGTTCAACTCACAGAGAAGGATGAGTGAGATCACCAGGCTGATGAGAAGGATGATACACCCGATGAGGGGCAGCTGTCTCTGGGTCTCCTGCCAGGAGAACTTGGGCGAGCTGGGACCTAAGAACAGGGTGGCAGGGAAGGAAAACTGCTGGGGAGGAGTTCAGCATGGTGGAAGACAGAGAAGGAAGCAAAACTGGCCCTTGCGGATCTTGCTAGGACCCTTGCGCCTTGCAATGTATCTGCACCCCTATCTACCCATCTCCACCTCTCTTATGCAGCCCCTCCCCTTGGCCAGGCACTGTACGTGTGTCCTGCTATTTGATCTTCACAGCATCCCATGAGCTGAGTCTTATTAGGTCCATTTCTTTAGATGGGGAAACTGGCGCTCATTGAAATGCAATTAGTTACCCAAAGTCGCTAAGCTGGTGACGATTTGGTCAGAGGTTCCAATGCAGTATCTCATTTCAGAATCCATCCCACCAAAGTGCCTCTCTTACCCTGGACAGGGACAAGCAAGAATGGGCCCTAAACCTTGAGTGTTTCTTCACAGTCAAATAGCAGCCAGGCTGGAGTATATATATGGGGGTAAGGCAACGAGGTCAGGCTGAGAGCAGTCTCCTGAGGGGAAGAGCCGAGGCTGGAGGCCCCTCGGGCTCTTTGACCTTCCAACAACTGAACTGCTGAACCCCCATCCCTCCTCACCGCCTCCCTGCCACACACACACACACACACACACACACACACACACACACACACAGAGTTTGGAAGCTTGGAGAGTGTCAGAGTCCCTCTCATTCTTCTTCCACACAGAACAGACACACCGATCATGACCTTGCACTACTGCAGACCCTAGCTTCCCCGGCACACACGCAGATCAGCCCCTCCTCTAGCCAGAAGTCCTTGCTCTTGGGATCAGAGCTCTCCGATAGGCAGAGCAGTCTTCAGTGTTGCAGCGTCCTAGCTCCTGGCTTTGGGATCCCCTTCCTTTTGTTTAATTTTCCACTGTCTAAGGCTCTCATGTTATGGTCCCTGTCTACCCTCACCTCTCCAGATACCCCATGTCCCACTCTGGCTGCCTCCCGTGTCATTATCCCAGGGTCATGAGGAGCAGGGTGATTTCTGAGAACATCCCTCTGCCCAAAGATACTGCCCTGGTTCTCTGCCCTCCCTGCGATGGTCCCCTTACCTGGGCTCTCCCCGGTGGCCCTGGTGGCTGCTGCTGACCTGGCAGGAGATGCCCGGATGGGGACAGCCCCCAATGGTGTTGCTCTAACAAGGTACACTCTCGTTGGGGAGGATGTCGTGGAGGCTGACCTGGCCGACGATGACCTGGTAGGTGATACCCCAACTGAAGACGATCTTGCTGGAGAAGCCTGAGGAGGAGAAGCCCGGGATGGAGATGCCCAGACTGGAGATGTCCTTGCTGGAGAAGCCTGAGGAGATGTTCTTGCTGGAGAAGCCTGAGGTGGTGTCCTTGCTGGAGAAGCCTGAGGTGGTGTCCTTGCTGGAGAAACATCCTGCAAATAAAATGAAGGACATTCCTGTGTCTACTCCCAGCCAACCCATTCCAGATATGGGCCCTACTGAATTGGAGGTGAACACTCTGGGGCAGGTGGCAGGGGACAGAGAAAGGCCTGTGCTTGAACATACTCAACACAAGTCCTGAGCAGAGCAGTCCAGAGTTCTCCTCTTGAGAACATCTGACACAAGCTGGGATCATTGTCACTACTGAGTAGACACCACAAATATAATTTTCAAGTCCTCTCCTCCAGGATTCAGAGGCGATGGATTGGCCACATCTTCACTTTCCTGGGGCCCATGTGCTGTGTTCAAGGAAGATTTTGACCACACTCAAGGCAGGACCCAGAGAGCCTCCCGTAGAGAGCTGCTAGAGCCCATCCATGGACAGGGGTAGTTACACATGAGAGCCCTTATCCCAGCTGGCAGCACGGGGATGTATGTGACTGTGTTTAGGGACATTCGGGCACCTGCTTCTGCTGCCCCAGCTGTTCCAACACCAAGGTCATCCTCTTACTGCTGCTGTCTAGAGAATAGATTTCCAAAATAAGCTGACTTTTTTGGCCCCTACAAGGAGGATGGGAACAAAAAAGGCAGAACTAGATATAGAAGACATACTTGTTTCTACGGGTGCCGAGAGGTGAAGCCAGGGCACTGTGTATGGCAGGCAAAAGCTCCATTGCTGAGCTACACTCCTTGCCCAAACTTGGCTTTGGGTATAGTAGGCAACTACTCTGCCCCTGAGCAACTCCCTCGGCTGAGAGTGCACTCGACCACAGAGTCAGGGAGCCCTGGGGCCCAATCCTGGGCCCATCCTTGCATAGCCGAAGGACTGGAACCAGCCCCTGAGTCACTAAAGCTTTCTGTTCATCTGTCAAGTAGTCTGGCACTAATCGGGGGAGTCCTCGCTGGGGTCCAGGATGCAGAAGTTCACCTGGTAAATAACGTTTTCCTCTCCCCGTTGTCTCTCCACGCAGAGGGTCAAGAGAACCAAGATTCGGTGGCCATGGAGAACGGGTGAATGAGGGGAGAAAAGAGTGTTGGGAAAAAGCCAGACTGTGGCCCTTTATTTAGAGGGACAGGCCTCAGCGATGTGATATCCTGAGTGAACTTCCCAGCAGTGGTGGCCTGAACCATGGCTCCTGGCAGGGGCCTGTATGACAGCACCTCCATTGGTGCCCGTCCTTGCAAACCCGCTCCACTCTTCCCCACCACTGGGGAACTTCCTATGGTTTGATATAACAAAGTACACTTTAGAATCTACAGCAAACTTTCACGTCTGTGTCCTTGTGGGGTTCTCAACTCATCCTGAGAATTGATTGGTTCATCTAGAAGATAATTTTCTAGAGTTGGATTACCAAAACCACAGAGTCAGGATCCCACCCGGGGCTCCTTACTTCTGTCTTCATGCATGAGAAACTGTTGGTGCTGTTTTCTGAACACTGACCCAGGGCCCTCTGAGCATTTGAAGCCTGACCAAAGAATTGGTGTCTGGAGCCTTATAAGGCAGGAGTTCCACAGGGGGCAGAGGCAGAGCCCAGGGATTTCTTAGTAGGATCTTGACCTTGTGGTACTTTTTGTTGTGAACTATGGTTGCCTCCCTGTCCCCATTCCCCCTGCCCACCAGGCCTGATTGGAGTCTTGTGACCCAGGACTGCAGCCACTAGGGTTACAGCGACTATGCCCGAATTCAGCCTCGTGATATGAGCAAGCGACATCACGCCTTTCCACGCCAGCTTCCTTATCTGCAAGGTGGGGGTAATCACCTGGCTTCGTATCCCAATAGTCATAGATGTGACATGCAAAGCACTTGTCCATAGTAAGGGCTGGGATGACACTGGCTGTTGACAGTTGGGTCTGCCTGATGTTTGAGAATGCTTGGCTCGAGATTCATCTGCTTGAGCAGAGCTGCACCCATTCTCTGCTAGGGCAAGAGCCAGCCAGAACTTGTTTGACTTGCATAAACAGGGCTAATCTCATCTCCTTCCCCATACAACCGGGAATCTATGTGAACAAGCCTGGGCTATACACGAGGGTCCAGCTAAAATGAAGGTAACAGCCCATGAGCACCTTACTAGGTCCCATGTCAAGCTCCTACTCGCTTTCTGTAGTTGGCAGTGTTGGCTCCACTTTACAGATATTGGAACTGAGGGCTGGTAATAGAGCTTGCTGCCAATCCTGAAACCTGAGTTCGATTCCTGTCACTCACATGGTAGGAGAGAAATGATTGTTGCAAGTTATCTTCTGGCCTTCTTGTGAGTGTACCACACACAACACACATGTAAAAAATTAATAATAAAAATGTGATCCATTTTCAAATTTCTAGGTCGAGTAAGGAAGAGGGCTTGTGTTCTAAACAGACCAACTTGTAACCAATGATGTCACAAATTATCAGAGCAGTCTCCCTCCTGTCTCCTGGGCTCACCATCTGTAGAGTTTCACACATACTGTCCAGTCTGGTTTTCCCAAGGGGCCTGGTAAGCAAACTGGTGAGAATGTCCATCTCTGCTCTCCTTCTTTGGTTTTGTTTGTTTACACAGTTGCTTGTCTGTTTGTTGAGATGGGGGTCTCATGTAGCTCAGGCTAGTCTTGAAAATCTGGTGTAGCCAGAGATGATCTTGAACTTCTGATCTACCTACAGGTATGTGCCATCACACCCAGTTTGGGCAAAGGTGAAGATTAAATCCAGGGCTTTGCACATCCTAGGTTTGCATTCTGCCTGCCTAGCCACAGCCACGGATCAGCCATCCACACTCTATCCAGGGGAGCTGGGACTCGGGGAATGGCCCCAGCTTCCCACTTAAAGGAACTCCCAATATTCTGATCCCCAGCCAAGGACTCTAGCTGTCTCCAACTGAGCTTGACCCTGTGATCCTGGCTTGATCACAAAGGGCTTGAGGGGAGGGGGCTAAGAAGGTCCGGGGCAAAGAAGGTCCGGGGCAAGGAATACAGAGAAATTAGGGGAGGGGAGATTTGTGAAGTTGGAGTAAGAGAGAGAACAGAGAAGAAACTGGTGATGGGACAGGAAGGTGAGACGTTGGTAGAAGTTAGAGGAGGTATTGCTGGAAAGCTGGTAGGGAGCCCTGGGTCAGAGGCACTCAGCCCCAGCCTTCACAGACTCAGCCCTGTGTTATCAGGGTGGGGATGGGGGGACTGGGTAGTGTAGAGCCTCTCAGACCTATGCAGGAGGACAGACCTAGAACCCTAAAATCTGGATGAGAAATGACACTTGGATAACTGTGAGCCCCAGGAAGGTGTCAGAATGGAAGGACAGCCCTGAGACAAGAAGACCGGAAGTCGCTGAACTTTGACCCAGACTTCACAGGTCATTAGGCAGCACCCTCATCTTCAGAGCCCATGAGAAGAATTCCAGAGCCCACAGCCTCCCTCTGTACACGTTTCTTGTCCTGCCACTCCACCCCTCTGGAAGTGCTTCCTGATGTCTAACCTACTACAGCATTAACTCATTTCCTCCCCCTCCATCCTCAGAAAGCAATGGCAGAGATGTCACCCTCCCATATGGAGGCTTGACTTCGTCCTGACAACAGATGGGGCACCAGGAAGGGAGGAGACTTCTTGCCCAAGGTCCTTAGGTACTAAGGTAGAACCAGGGGACCAGAACTCAGGCCTCCCAATCCCAGCCTTTGCCAGTGAGCACAGCTTCCTGGAAAAGAACTTGTGATCAAGTCCTTGCAGGGCCCTGCCCTGTGCACAGCCTCCTACAGACCAGAGGCCATTCAAGCTGCATGGGCAGGTGTGGATGACCGAGTTAGCACCTGGGTAACTCGGGGCATTTCCTACCACTACCATTAATTCCTTCTGACCCCACCCCATGGTCTCAAAGGTCATCCTTTTTCATAACAATCAGGCATCAACCACGCTGCACGCTGTCACCTCTGATACTCCTGGCTGTGCCTGAGAAGCTCCAGAGAACCTGTTCACAGTTTGTTGGGCTGTCTAGAGGTCCTGGTGCATCACTGGAGACCAAGAGGGCAGGAAGGGCATATACCATGAAGGAAAGCAGAAAGCTGGACATGGCTGTGTGTGGCTGTCATCCTAGTGTTGGGGACACGGAGACTCCGATCTTTAGAGCTCACCAGCCACAGCCTAACAGAATCAGTACACTTCCAGTTGAAGGAGAGACCTTGTCTCAAGGCAATAAGGATGATGTCAATAAAGGAAGCCAGTAGTCACCCTGCTCTGACTGCCACACGCTCATACACCTGTGCACTCACATGCACGCACCACACACATGAGCACATGCATGTAGTTGATCATGCATGTGTGTATGCGCTTGTGCGCACACACACACATATGTATATTTTTTCCAAAGTCCCATATAGCAGAACAGGAGCTAAAGCCCCCCTCCAAGCCCCTATTTCTAGTCCTGTCTCCCTTCTACCTCAGCTCCCAGGGATGGATTCCTCACCCCCAGGTGAATGGGGCATTCTTTTGTTCTCTTAGGTGGTGGGGCACCGGAGCTAGTTAACAGCCGAGTGTGGCTTAATTGATCTCCCCTGAGTTTCCTGTGGGTTAATCAGATAGCTAGCGATTGCTGCAGGCTGAGCTCCCTGGCTCCTCAGCCGCACACAACCCACAAGAAGAGCCCCACACAGGCTTTTCTGCTGGACCCAGAAAATGTGCAGTGGCCTCTGCAGTGACAGACCAGCAGCCTCACCTCAGACAGGCCTGTGGGGGCTCCCTTCCAGAGCCATCAAGGGATGGAAGGTCCTTGAAACCCCACTAATTGCAGCTTCTTTCTAAGATGGGGGCCAAGGTCCAGAGAGGCTCTGACGATCCCAAGAGGCCATGTGAAGGCAGTGGTAGGGGCCACAGGTCACCTGGTCCCTTCCTTGAGTTGCTGCTATCTAATGCTGTACGCGCCACCTCCAGTGAGCAAGCCCAGACTCGGGCTCTGGGGCACCCCTCTTTACCAGTGACCCTGAGTTTTAGGGACTGTCAAAGGAGGAGGTGCATGAGCTAGACCATGGTCAGAGCCCAGCACTCTGGAGTCCTAGTCCTTACTGGAAACTATTTTTTTTTTCTATTGTTGTGTTTTCAAGAATTTTGCTATATAGCCCAGGCTGGCCTGGAACTCCCAATCCTCTGCCTTTCAAGAGCGGGAATGATAGGTACGCTTCCCCTGTCTAGTCCAGGAACTGCCTTTGATAAGGCCTAGAAGGTCCTGACTACTGGAGTGAGGACCTTGGACCAGACTGGTTCAGGGCATCAGGCTTCACGGTGCCCCTTGGGTCATGGCTCTCCCCGACGCTCCTCCTCTAGAGAACCCCACAGACACAAGCCCCCTCAGAAGGCAGGCTGTCCTCCATTGCCTCTTCCCAAACACAGGACCAGCTTTCCCAGGCATATGCATGCAATATGAGCTCAGGGACCTCGTCAGCCTGACCAGCAAACCCTGTGTGAAGTACAAGAGCTTGCTTCAAGCCTAGGCAGCACCTTCCTGCAGGCTCTCGGCTCTTTAATGCCTAAAATGAAGGGATTGGCCACTGTTTCCCAGAGGCTTCCATAACATTAAGGTCACATGGAGTTACCATGGAGCTCGGTCATGGGCCTTCATGGTAGGGCTTGAACCCCAGACAGAAATTCACATTTTTCCCTGCAGTGGCCTCTACCCAGTGTTTCATTTGAATAGAAGGGGCAATTGCTGCAAGGACTTGAAAATGACTGCCCCAGATGAGTGAGCACCCAGGTCTTTCAGTTTAGAATGTCTCTTGGCACATGAAAGAGACTGAAAGGAGGAAGCATGAGATCATACCTTACTCTTCACTTGATGGATCATTCATTCGTTCATTCATTCATTCATTCATTCACTCATTCATCAGTGTATTCATTCATTCATTTCATTCATTCATCCATCTGTTCATTTACCAATGACTTTAAAGAACATGGTGTGTGAACCCAGGGAGATGGCTCAGGGGTACAGTACTTGTCATGAAGGTGTGAAGATCTGAGTTCAAATCCCCAGAACCCATGTAAAGTCGAACATGGCAGTGCACATCTGCAATCCCAGTGCTCCTGTGGTAAGATGGAAGGCAGAGACAGGAGGATTCCTCTAAGGGAATGGGCCAAATAGCCTGAAGTATGTATGCAACTGAAAACCAGAGAGTCCCTCTCAAGAAAGGGCCAACTCTCAAGGATGTCCTCTGACTGCCACACAAGCCCTGGAGAGAGAGAGAGAGAGAGAGAGAGAGAGAGAGAGACAGAGAGACAGAGACAGAGAGAGACAGAGAGAGAGAGAGAATGTATATAACACCCATACATCATATAAATACATAAAGATTAAAAATAAAAATGAAACACTGAGTGCTCAAAATGTTGCCAAGCAAATGGTATTGTCTGCCTCTGTTTCCCTGCTCAGCCTCTCCTGTCTACACACAAAGGTAGTGATGTATGGAACTAGGGCCTAGAGGGTACTTTGGGCTGTCTCCAGCAGACGAGCCTCAACCCATGAGTGCCAAGACCTTCGTTTGGAGGACAAGTTGATGTCCTGTTGTGTTTTCCCACCTGTCCACCTGCCAGGGTACGGGCCACCCCCATTGTTGCTAGACAGGAGGAAGCTGTGTTGCCAAAACAAGACACTTAAGCTAAGTGGCCACTGTTACATCAGCCAGTCTTCCCGCCCAGTGCTGAAGCTGGAGCCCAGTGTTCACTCCCACATAGTCACACCAAGTCACAGGGGACAAGACAGAATGAGACTCGGTGGGGTGTGCCAGGTGCATGCTGATCAGCACCAGTGACAGCACAAAACAGGTGTTCCAGAGAGGGGTGTGGCCCTACAGGACAAAGGCAAGCTGTTGGCGGTGCCTCCAGGTTGGGGCAGTGGGATGTCAAGGGGTCCTGAGAGTACTGGTCCTCCATCTTGGGAACGTGGCCAGCCTCCTGGGAAGGGTATGCATCTTGGCTCAATCTGGGCCTCACATATAGTTAGCTGCACAGCAGGACATCTTCCTTAGAAGGCACTCAGTTCCTCCAAGCATTGAAAAACATGACCCACTTGGCAAAAGCACAAGAATAGCATGTACACCCAGTAGGACATACTTGCAATCCCACTGTGTGCATCATTCCAGCAACTTCCAGTGGAAGCAGAAAGAGATCTTCGGGACCATTAGTTCAGCCCTTCTCTTCATCAGGTGAGGAGACTGAGGTATAGAGAGAAGAGTCTGTCTCAGTTTAGAGGGGCCAACATTAGACTCCAGATGGAGATGAAAAAGCTACATGTCATGACTGTGTCTGCAGCTGTGGTAGACCAGATGCCATTCAAAAGGACCCTGACTATACAGAAGACTTCTGGGTGTCCTTGAGACAGGTGCTCCATTTTACAGATGAAGACACCAAGGGACGGGAAGCTGAAGTGAATGTGTTCTGTCACTTCTGTCTACCATGACGAGTGGCTCTTTCTTGGGTTATTTTGCAACTTCAGTCTTGCTATGTAGCCCAGGAAGGCCTGGGACTAGCTCTTTATCCTTCAGCCTCAACCTCCAGCATAGTGGGGATAGCAGACGGGTACCACCCAATTCATCCAACTCTGCTTTCCATTAGAATACGGAGCAGCAGCATTGCCTTCTCCTCCCCTTCCTATGATCCTCCTGAAGGTCAGCACATGCTGCAGGAGCACTGACAACTGAAGCCCACGGACCACCACTGGAACTCACTATGCTAGGATTAAAGACATGCACCACCACACCTAGCTGCTCCATCCTACTCTTATTTAACTTAAGAAATCCTATGTGACAAGATTTGGAGGCAACTATAGACTCCTTGCTCCTAATTCTGGGGAGGTAAGTTCCTCAGCTGGACATCACCAACCCAGCACAGGAGGAGGGGTAAGCTCTCTGACTGCGCCCAGCTCAAACTCACCACCTTTCAGATAACTCAGGCCCCTTCTTTGAATCTGGGGACTAGCAAATTTCCAAGGAGGGCAACCCATGACTGTGGCCAAGGGGTCCCATGCCTCCTATAATCCATCATTCTTCCCTGTGTGGCCCCTTTCTGCTGAGCTTAAAGACATGAGCCAAAAGGACCAGAGGGGAGAGAGAGCAAGGGAGGCAGCCGAGGAAAGGAAGAGTCTAGATGGGTCTGGGAAAGTAGGAGAAGAAGACAAAACCCTCAGCAGACACATACCCAGGATCAGAATGGACCACAAGCTGACCGCAGCCTAGAACAGAGGATGGGTTGGACGTCCTCAAACCCAGGGCTTGTTAATCCTTCCCAGAGTTTCAGACCTCACAATATCAATAAAGTACAAAAGTGTGAACAGGAACAGAAAACATGAGCCAAGGGAAAGTTAAGGAGAAAGGGGCGCATTGAACAAAGCTTCGGGGATACCTGATGTATACACGACTTGCTTTTCACACAGGACACCCCCCACTGCTCTCCGTCACCTCTAAAAGCAGCAGAAGAAGGAAGCCTGAGTTGTAGCAGAGGATACTATGGTTAGACATAAGTAAGAACTTTCCATGTGCATTAAGTCCCCTAGTAAGTGACCAAGCATAGATAAAAACCTTCTTGAAAATCTTAAATGTATATAGAAAAGTCACATTTTTTTCTGGGAAGGTTTAGGAGGTTCTTGGTTCTCAAACTAGCAAAGAATAACTTCGATTAAATCAGATTCTCAACCATCCAAGTTGACCATGTAACAGCAGGGATGTCTTTGCCAGGCACAGATTAAGTCCTATCCAGGCCTCAGCCACACAGTCCTGGGGTGCCTAGTAACCAGACCCATGTTTTACGGTTTTCTCCTCTTAGGGCTCCTTCTAGGGATGAAGATAAAAGGAGGTTGATATCTCCGGGTCCCAGGCAACGTCCAGTTAGAAGAGGCATTCTATTGTCCCTTAACCCAGGGCAGGCCTTGGCAGTGCCCCTCCTGTCTCCAGCATGTCCCTGCTCAAGTCTGGGAGAGCCTGGGAGATGTTGGCTTACTCACCCGGTGGCTGCCTCTGTCCATGGTCTAAGAGGATGCGTCTTCCAGGCTCAGCTAATGTCAAGAGGAAGATCCATGTTGACCCCCAGGTCCTCCAGCATGTGGGGAAAAGGAGACTGAGGGCTGAGGGCCGGCCCCCAGCAGATGGGGCGGGGAAACTGGTCGGATTTGTGAGGTAATCTCAGGTATAAACAGCCTGGAACTTGCCAGACCTGTCCTTCAGCCCCATCCCAGGCCATCCCTGTTACTCAGCTAATACCTGGGCTCTTGAAACTTCCACCACGGGAGTTTATGTGGAGCCTCTGTGTGTGGGGTCCCCTTCACTGTCCCTCCCAGAAAGCATCAGATAGATTCTGGGATTGTAGGAAGCTCTCTGAAGCACTCAAAATATGTGCACCCGAGCACACCTGGGACAGTCCTGTCACCATAGTGTGTTCATTCCCAAGTGCTCTCATGTCCAAATCCCAAATATGGGCACCTGAGATGGACTTCTAGGTTTTTCTGAATCCTGTTTATTTTTATGAAAACACTTAACAAAAAAAATGAAATCGTGTGGTTTTGAATTACACACATAACGAATTACATCCATTGACAGCAGTAAACTATTATGAACTATACCAAAGTCAATTAGTATAAAACATGTAGGTATGTGAATGGAAACCGGTCCAGGGAATATTGAGGTGACTCACAACCTCCTACCCTGCGCTCCGTTCTGATCGTCAGAGGCAAAAGAAACAGGAAGAGACGTGTGTCCTTATCCTAGAGTAGCTGTGCTAAGAATTGTGGGGGAAGAGGCGTCTGGTGGACTTTGGGAAGGATGCTCCAGGTTCCGAGCATTTAGAGAGCTCAGCACTGTTCTGACAATTTCTTCCACCTCACTCCACAGGCTGGTGACCAGAATGACTAGGGCATTGGCAGAACTCGCAGGGAGCGAACAGCCACAGACAGCCGCAGCGGCAACTGGGAGATGCCAGCACCCGTGACAAAGCTTCCCTATCCATCACCCATTCACTCGACAAGTGTTTACAGAGTGTCTGTGACACGTCTGGCCCCGCTCCAACAACTGTGTGGCCGCGGAATGGTCAAAACTAAACCAAAATCCTTTCCTACGTTTTGGGGATTTTTTGTGTCAGCAAATTACCTCAGAGATACCAGAGCAGGAACTGAATATGATAGAGAAACTGATTTCCGAAATCTAACAATACCTGGCAAGGGTTGAGAAGTATTAGATTGACCAATTTGCCTCAACCTGGTCCCGCGAGAATAAAAATTAAAATTGTGGCCACTCTTGTCTGCTCCGGTTTCTAACCACCGAATTTGCCCCAGTCCCACCTAATTCCGCTAGGCATGCTCCTTCTGCAGCAAAGTCCCAGTCTTCCCTCAGGTCTGAGGAGCATCAGGATTCCCCAGTTGGGTCTGTGTTCCCCCATGCAATGACTCTGCACCTGAATACTACTCTTAGGTTTTTATTTTTGCCTCTTTTACGATTCTTGGTTTACATGAAGTCCTGGGAGTCCACAAGGGCTAGACCCCTGGACCTGAAGTACCAGCACTGACGTGGGGGGCGGGGGGGGGGGCATTGACGAAACTCAGCAAATCAATGGAGCCATTGGTCATCAGGCAGGGAAGTCAGAGGAAAGCAAGGCGGGAAAGCATGGAGGAGACTGGGGTTGCCCTGACAGTTAGGCCCAGTGATCAGAAATGGCAGCTAGGGTGAAGTCTGAGGCTGGCTCTTGCCCTCATTTACATGAGTGGATGTGGAAATTGCTCCAGTTTAGGATGGTCAGGGAACTTAAGACCACAAAGGCTCATGGGAAAAATCCTGGAAGGTCCAGGAAGAGAGCCAAGGAGCCTCTGATCTGGGTGCACTGCTTCTCTTGCTGCACTCCTAGGGAGCAGAACTTAGCCTTGGTCCATTCTCTCTTACTGTCCACGCTCTGGTCATCCAGGTCTGGGCACAGGCTGGTGTTGTGTCCTGGATCCTCCTTCCAGGGCACCACTGAACCACAAGGCTATGTATGCTTGAGCCTCTCGGCATCCAGATGCTCGGCCTGGAGGTCTCCACTGAGTCCGTCAGGCAGGTCCTTGCCTTTTTCCATCCGGGTCTTCCCAGCCTCTGGAAAGCGCTCAGACAATGGCGGTTCTGATCGAGTCAGGGGGAACAACGGAAGGCAAAGACAGTTTAGAAGTCTGCGTGCGGGTGTGCTGTCTGGAAATCGGCGAGGATGACGCATAGGACCCAAGAACACAGCTTTTTGGCAGAGTCAGCTTTTTCTTGGTTTCCTGTCCCAAAGTCTTTGCTAACCAAGTTATGTGGCCCATACAGAGTCCTCATCAGAGTGGATTTAGGAAGCACAGAATCCTGATCCTCCGGCTCCTGGAGTCTGGCTGGGACAGGTACGGGAGGAGCAGGCCGCTGCCGGGGAGAACACGGTGCCTCTCTGGGCTCGGCACACCCAGGCAGTAAGACTTCACTGGGAGTTTTCTCCTTTTAGAGGGAGACTGGGATGCCTGGACAAAACTCAGGCCCTTCCTCCTGCAGAGCCGGCCTTGAAGCTGCAGCCTAGGCTTTGACTTCCACCCATGACCCTGGTTCGGATTTCTTTCCTAGAGCCCTTATTCCAGGCTCTGCACCCTCCTACCTGGCTGTCCAATCCGTCTATCTCTGCCTGGCCTTTTCCTCTCCCGCCTTAAGCTCCCTAACTGCTTTCTGGGGGGATGCTGGGCAGGCCTGACCTCTCTCTATTGGGGGCTCACACAGCACTTTCATTCCCTGGGGGAGGGGCGATCCTAGACAATGGTGTGAACTATGATGGGGACCTGAGCCATACCCAGCCCATCTTAAACATTTCCTACCTCTGGCTCATTTCCTTTGGGGTTAGAGGGAAGTTTTACATAAAAACCATATCAGCCAGGCAAAGAACTCAAGGTTTCTGGCATGGGGAATGGAGGAAAATTCAGGGCTGTTTGGAAACTGTGCTCCCAACTCCGGGAGTTTCAGGGTTCCATCTGGTGCTGTGGTGTGGGACACGGCACTCTTTGCCACACTGCTCTTAACCTTGACTCCCTCCTGGTCCCACTTTGGGCAAAGCTCTTCTTGATGAGCCTCACTCTGGAGTCTCCTCCTCAGAACCTTCTTTGGGACCCCTGAGTACCCTCTCTTCTTTGCACCCCACTTTTGTTCTCCCCAACACAATGGGATTACTGCCAGGCCTGAGCCAAGCAGGTCAGAGAGGAGACACCAAGCCCATCTGGGAATTACCCCTGAGGCCCGGGGCATCTCCCTCCCATTTGCTCTATGACCAGCCCCAGTGGAGGGCAAGTGTCTTCTACCCCACCAACTCTGCAGCTATATACCCAACCCTTTCACCCCAGCCCCAGGCCTGCAGCAGCTTGATGATATAGCTGCTGCCTGCATTTAGGAACTAAAGACTGGTTCTTTCTTCTTGTTCTGCCCTCAGGGCTGGATGAGCATAAGCAAGAGAGATAATCACGCAGGCTGTACATATAAAAGGGTTCCCAGTAACCAAGATTTATCATAGTTTAGTGTTTAAAAACCTTCAACATTAACACAAGAAGTCTATCTCTGAACAGAATGTCAAAAATTTAGTTGAAAACAGGATCAGATTTCTGCCCAGATTTCACCTTCTATTTTTCTCCCTTACAGGTTCTCAGGGCCTCGGTTTCCCTGGTAACTGATCCTTCTATCTTTGCAAGCTGCCAGCCTATAGGTCTTCAATGAAAGAGAAGCATCTAAGGCAACCAATACCCAGGGACCTGAATCCTAGGAAGGTAGTGCCCTCTCTGTACAGAGCAGAGCCCAGCTCTAGGGAACTGCTAGCCTTACTGTGAATGCCCACTGAATCTTCCTGGAAGTGTTGTTTCACCTTGCGTCTCCATGAGCCTACCTAGCTCAGAATCAGCACCCAGTGCCTGTCTGACCATTGCCAGGGGCAGCTATTGCTGCTAATATGTTCTAAGACTTTCTTTTTCTTGTTTTTTACAAGGTCTCATGTAGCCCAGACTGACTTTGAACGAGTTATGGAGCCAAGAATGACCTTGAACTTCTGATTCTCCTGCCTCTACCTCCTAGGTGAGGAATTACATTCCCAGTTTTGTGTAGTTCTAGGGATTGAAGCCAGGGCTGCATGCCCAGTAGGCAAATACCCTATCAACTGAGCTTTATCCCCCATGCCAAGGTTGGTTTCGTAATTTACTATGCATCAAGAAGACGCATAAGCCAGGTGTCATGGGACACATGACTGTAATTCCAGAATGAAGGAGGTAGAAGCAGGAAGATTTTGGGTTGGAGAACAGACAACTCAACAAAGTAAGAACATAGTGTCCCAGGCTAGCCTAGGATACAGACGAAGAAAGACTCTATCTCAAAAATAAACCAGCAACTACAAAACCAGAGGAAGTATATAGTCGACTTCTGACCTAAAGAAAAGACACCCATGACCACCAAGATCTAGAATATTCCCATCAATTCAAAAATTTCTTCTCCACAGTTTCAGGCAATCATCAATCTATCTCCTGCCTCAGGGTTAACTCTCCCGTTCCTTGACTCTCCCATAAATCTGCCCTAAGACAGATGGTGGGAGCGCAAGCTGGCGGGGCCACAGTGTAGCCCTCAGCAGGTGCTCTAGCGGAACCTCATGGGGGTTACTGTACAAGGTGTTCAGGAAGTGTGGGGACTCCTAAGTGACAGCCCACAAACATCAGAGCAGTCCCAGTCCCCAGCTGCTTTCTCAACCCTTCAGAGGTTCACAGGGGCTCTATGGCGGACTACCCTTGTGGTTTCCATTTTCAGTAGAAACTGGGCCTCTCTCGCTGGAGAGCAGGACTGAGGAGGGAGTAAGGAAAGACACACACACACAAGAAGAAATCAGAAAATAAATGTGACCAAAGGACCACCTAGTGACCCCCTTTCCCAGCACATCTGTGGCTCAGAGAGCCTGGAGCCCTCATCCCAGGGGGCAAGAGCTTCTCTTGACCTTCCAGGTCTTAGCCAAGACAACAAA